TTTCTTAAAATGCTTATTCAATAATCACAACATGGAAATTAATTTGTCAAAAGCTGTTGAAACCCTTTAAAAGAGCATTTGTGATAACTCTTTACGAATATTTACATCTATTTCACTATTTCTTTTTAGTTATTGGGCAGTCTACTTTAAGCAGCTGCGGCAGTGTCAAATCGTTTCTCAAATAAATCCATTGAAATTATACAGAAAAATGATCTACCTTTTCAAAACATCTAGAAAAGGCGATGCACAGGGCATTTCTTTGGTGTTCTTGTTTTTTTTTTTTTTTAAATGAATACGGTCTGGTGTTATTCAAAATGACTGATTAAAAAGCCTCTCGCCTGCCACCCTGTTCACAAAATAAAAGCTAATGTGGACAATACAATAAATAATTTTCTCAACGAAAGCATAATTGAAAGGTGCAGTAAGTTATCAATGAGAATTTAAAGCGCAGCATCAGCAAAAGTGTAAAGTCTGATTCTTCTGGCGGGGTTCTTGGGGATGAAATGGAGGCAGATTCAGGCATTGATCTGAGTCTATTTTTTAAGATGGTAGGGGCGTATGTCTATGGCAGAGGAGCCAGTGCTCACCCATCAAGCTCCGCCCTTCCCCCACCCATCTTCCCCTGCTGCACTTTCCCCTGTAAATTATAGCAGCACTTTAGCTAATGAAAGAGTTGAAGTCCGGGCACTAATAAAAGCCATTAAGTGAATAAAGCGCTTCCCCCTCTAACAAAATTAAAGAATTTGCCCCCTCCTCGAGGGAGGACTCTGTATTAATATTTATGAATTGCGGAACTGGACCTTCTACCCCCTCCCAATGACACGTACCCTGGCCCACACCACCCAACTTCTCTTCGGCAACCCACCTATCCTGGGTGGTATTGTGCGACCCCCCCTCCTGCGGGGCAGAGGGAGGGGCGGAGTATGGGGGGTGTTGGAGGAGAGACATCCTGGACAGTTTGCCTTCAGTTCGGCTAAGAGGTCCAGTCCAGACGCCCAGCTCAAAACAGAAGCTCCCTCAGATGATCTTAGTCGTCGATGAGGCGAGAACAAGAGGCACTGGTCTCGGCATGAAGATCTGCTTAGAGGACATCCATCCCTATGAGAACCTGTTGGAAGGTCCTCTTCAAGATTGAGGTGAGAGTCCTAAATGCATAAGTTGCTGAATGTCTTAACGGTTCTTCTTTTCTCCTCGCAGAGCTGCGCTGACAATTCCTTAGAACAGTTTCAGTGTACTTGAAGTTTCTTTTGCGCCTTTTGGACAAGTCTTCTTCAAGGTAAAGATTTTCAAAGAGTATTGTGCAAAAGGGGGACAAAATATGCTACTACTGAACAAACTGGGTAAGATGTAATATTTGCTCCAAATTTGTAACATGCTCAAAAAATAGATTCAAGAGGGTCAGTGAGACACCAACTGTACCATGAAACTGGTTGAAGAATATAGGCGTAGACAATGTCATCGTCCATTTATATTTTATCAACTGTTCTTTCTGGTCCTCACCCTTCATTCTCCACCAACATCTCCAACATCATACTTAATAATGTTTGTTTCCTCCCATTTCATCATGCTAAGTGGTTCAGTTGTCCGACCTTTAGAGTTGATTAGTGCACCCATCCTTCCCATTCCCACTAAAATGTCCCATGGGGCATGGCAAGTATGAGGGTAATATGATTACCACCCAGATGGATGGGCAGAATCTAGGTGGGTTTTTGGAAGAGATACTCTGGGATACCTTAGGAAGTGTTACCACAAGAGATTTTGCAGTAACAAGTTAAGAATTAGCCCTGATGTCCAAATGTTGTGGGATAGACGACACTGGCTGTGATGTGAAATAGACAACATTGGCTGCGAAAAAAATGACATTGGTGGTTTATTCTTATTTGCCCATAGAGCAGTCTATTTGAGCAAGTTAAAAAGCTGGGGAGCTATTGATGTCCCTTAACAAGACAAGCATCACTTCAACAAACTCTATTTCTATAGATTTTTTAAAAACCTCTGAACAATTGAATGACAGCAAACCCATGTGATTACCAAGCCACTATCGTTTGTTAACCCCCATTCTGGAGTTCTCTTGAGTTCCATTTCATTATTCTACTGAAATTTTAGAAAATTAACAGCTTTGTCGACTGGTCATCAGGCATAGATAGTAGGGAGGTGTTCGATTTTCGGAGAGGGTGGGGTTTGACGCAGTTTTTGCGCAGGAAGGGCGGTGCCTGCGAATCTCTGCAGTGAGAACGTGACCTATGACTAATCTTTTTTTTTCTTTTTTAAATTTTGCAGACATCCTTAGTCACCGTCTATCACGAACACCTTTTCCACCGTCTCCTATTGTGTCGCTCTCGGTAATCACCTGCAACAACCTCTATGATATTGCTCTTCTCGATTTCCAGTAACTTCCAGTTTCTGGAAACCTGAATACAGTCTTTTGGAGAACAGATACACCATCGAAGGACGGCTGAAGAAGACAACTTCTTGATCTTTTGCTGGTCTTTTTGAATTACCTTCACCCAGTGATCTATGACTTGTGGTTCCACCTTATGTAGACTTGGAGCCTCGACCTGTTCCCAGACGACCCTCATTGTATTCTGCATGATTTTAAACAGCATTTTAATGTACATGGACCATTCCATCTTGTCTTTTGTGACTGATCCACAACCTGAACAAGTTTCTACTGACTTCACGACTTTGCGCAGGACACCATTGTGCTTGATCTAACCATGCAGTTCCCTGTCCATGGTTGTGCCAAGCACTTTGGAGACTTGTGTGCACTTTCTTCCAGGTTTTTCTTACTGTTCTTTTCCTCTTAGATCCACAATCTAAAGAATCAAACCTTGTGCAACAGTCTGTTGAAGTGTAACTTTTTGTCCCAAACAAGAGTATTTTAAAGAGAATAAAATGCATTATGTTTCGTTTGTTGATTGTGACATGATCATTATAGCTAGAAAAATGAGTGCAACAGTGAGTGGAAATAGTGACACTGTGGTCAAAATAGTGTTAGTTCTGTTGCCAACATGCACTTCCTCAGCAAAGCTGATGCCATGGCTTGATATTTCTTTCTTCATGTCCTTTCAATTTGCTCATACACCCGAAGCCGTAACCACCATAAACAGAAGGGAGAGATATATAGCCTACCCAGCCTCCCCAATATTCAGAGTAGGTCTCAATCCACATGGGGATTCTTTTTAATCAGTTTTTTCTTCATTTTTTACAGCTGGTTTGAAAGTAAATTATGAAAAATGTCCAAGTCCAGTTGCATGCTCATTCGTCATAAGAAAATGTATGAACAAACTTGGCACATCAGCCACCGTTTTCACTTCTGAAACAAAAAAATATCTGGCTATAAGACAAAAAGACTTTAGTAATGTAAGCCTTGTTCGAAAAAAATGCAATCTTAGATGCAGTCAGGAGGTCATGAAGATGGGTGGCGCTCACTGCAGAGCAGCACTTACAGTCAGTCTCTAGATGAATGAATCACTCTGTTTTACCGTCTGAGGTCAAGTTAGGTTGCACTGCTCAGCTCCAGTCATTTTCGAAGTAATGGACTCCGCTCGGAGTCGTGTCATCTGTTTGCCTGTGCACAAGTGTTTTATTTATTGAATCTTAGGAGATTCGACCTCTTCACGAGACCAGCTCACATTTTAGAATTACTCATAGCACTTTATGGAGATTTTGAACACTTTTAATTGATTCACTGAGGGGTTTAAAAAAAGATGCATATCAACCATAAAATGGATGAATGAATGTCTAACTATGAATGTAATCAATCAATAAATGCTACAGAAGTCCAGCCAATGAAAATGCACTACAATTGGAAGTTCAATCATGACTACCATTATGTATTTTATCAATATACACAGATACTGCAGCCAGTAGTCTGGGTGTGATGTGCATTTTGAACGGGAACAAAAGTAACATGCATGACTTGACTTTTACATTTACTTTTAAAAGAGAATGTCAATGGCGTTTGCTTGTGCAAAGCTCACCGACACGATGACCTCGAAGGTGTAACCGAGGCTTTGCTGTAATTTAGGTTAGAGGTTTATTTAGATCACTAACCTTCAATAGGAGAAATGATAATACTGATAATACTTAGCAAACACCATTAATACATATCTAGACTATTAAGTAAATGCAGTCTATCTATGAAGTATGTTGTTGGACTTACATTTATTCTGTTGTTCCCAGAAGTGGCTTCATATGATGCTTAAAAGCTATTAAAACATCAGATTTACTGCCCTGTTTTTGAAGGTCACAGTCATCGATACTATGCCAACATGAATAAAAACGAAACAAGACTCAGAAATGATTTCAAATTATTTTATTGTCACCAATTAATGAAGTAGGTGGATCATTTTCACATTAGAGCAAAAAACAAAGTCAAGCTCCTGGCGTCTCAATCATTCAAACATACACTATTTCACTTGAGAACACAGGAGAACACTTCTAGTTTAGATATTAGAAAAAGTGAATCAAGCACATTAAACTGTGGTTGAGTTTTTATCATGATGCTTTGACTCAAATCATAAGCGGAAGAAAATGCACTTTTCAGTATACTAGTGTATATCTGAGTTTTCAACATGATGTTTAGATGAAATGGCAGAAAACATGGTGCTCAACAACCATATTCAGGATGAGTGGACTAATGTAATTTGCATGGAAATAAATTGTGTTACTTTTGGGAAACGGAACAAGACATGCTACTGGGATATTTGTATTTGTATTAAGGAGTAAAAAAAATAAAATAAAATTATCGTTATGCAATATTAGCACAGTACATAATTTCAACTTGTATCTCAGTTAGTAAAAAACTAACAAAAAACTTTTTCCAATGTAATGTACAAATCAAAACTTTTTTCTGTGGTAAATGTCAATAGAGTGTAACATCTATAAATGTGTAATATTTAATAAAAGACCCTTTGACTGACCACTGTGAACAATAGTTTTAAACATGAAGCAAAATCATAGAAAATGATCATCACCACCTTTAATAATTTGTATTATTTTTTTTTCTTAACAGCAACAACAACAACAAAAAAAAATTTTGCTGTCTTTTTCCCTTAAACACACTGGGATGTAAAAAGGGCAGTTCTATCTAGATGTTAAACTTATTTACACAAATATATTTAGGCCATGTCTTTTTATGATGAACACTAACAGAATGGTGCGACAAGGGTATTCTGACTAAATTAAAGAAACAAGGACATAAAAAAAAAAAAAAGATGGAATTCATTTCATATGGAACAATAGTGAACAGGATGCTGAGGTTTACTTACACCTTCAATAAAGAGCAGATATTCAAAACGGAAAGTCAAATGCTTGATTATTATGGATGTCATAATCAACTAACTCAACGGTGCATCTTTGGGACCATTCACATTTCAAGTGCAACATAATTCCTTTGAAAATTATGCTATTTAGTTAACACTCATGTAACAAAAAATGTCATGCCATTATCAAGTGCTAACCTCATTTAAACAAAGGACATCTGGATGTCATACAAGAGTATATTTGCACATCCACCAAATAAAATCTGGGATTTGAAAGATCTGCTTTGATTTCAGATGTTCCTCTGCAAAGGCCATAAAGATAAAACGGACACAACAAGATGCATATACCTTTCCTCAGATGATTTACATACTTTTTCTCCACAAAGCAAACTGTAGTGCTACTGTATGTATAACTTCACTGGTGTCACTACATACATCAGTATGAAATAAAGGTCAAACGATGGGACGGAGACCAAAACAGGACAACAATCTAGATTCAAGTCTGCAGGTTGATCAAAATCAGTGTAATCTGCATCAACAAGCTAAGTTTGACTGTACCAATTCTTTTTTTTACTTTTTTGAAGTAAACATGTATAACAGACAATCCCATTAGAGTGGATTCCCAATCACAATAAAACACCCCTAATTCTTTGCACTTGCACAAAATGCATCCTGCAGTGAGTTCGTATAGCGACTTGCACACTGCCCTTCCACTTTCATTACAACATCGAGTTGTAATGAACAGTGTCCTCATTTCCTGGAGTTCAGAGTAGAAAAGATGCATTATATTTCAAACAGCCCTCTAGAGCGCAGGAAGAAGCGGAGCCTGATCATGAGGATGTTGCGGTTGGCATAAGACACACCTCTCTTGTGTTTCCAGAGGTTTTGGTGATCCTGTGAAGGCTGTTTGGGTTTTACTGGCAGTGAACATTCACACGGTAAATGAGGACGATGGCGACTCGATCTGGTTCAGCTGAGCTCATCACAGTATAAACTGGAAAAAAGAACCACATAGTGAAAAACAAAAGTGGCTTTGTGTGCACAAGCGACTTCCTGAAGTTGAAACTGGTAGGGCGTGTGCATGCTTCTGTTGTTTTTCAGCATCTCAACAGCATGATTGATTCTGATGATCGTGATTTAAATGCGGAGTGAAATGCTGCTTGGCAGGAGAATCTACAATTGATAAATGCCATTATTTTGGCTCATCTCAGCAGTTTGGTTAAGATGCACCCTACAGAAAGAGGAAGCAAACTAACAGCTCATGAAATGGGGGGTGTGAGCGCTCAGTATGACAGCTAGTGCAGGACTGGCATAGATGAATTTTGGGAAAAGATGGTTTGAATTTCTTTGTGGTTTCAATTAATGACCCCGTAAGTGAAAAATGTTCTGTTCCAGGTCATTTTTCAACAGTACATCAATCGCTGTGGCCAGACACTCAGGCGTAGATCTGACTCGGGCCACCGGCGTGAGCGTTATCAGCTAGTCGTTCTTGGGTGGGTTGGGTAGGTTTGATGATATTGACATAGTCGTGAACACCGACGTCCATGTTTTTAGCTCTGAGAGCAGCGGTGTGAAGCTTCTCCAGGAAGTCTGGCATGCCTGTGAGATAGAGAGGAAGTGAAATCTTTGCGAACAGGTGTCAAGAAACAGCAGCTGCAGAAAGGGCAGAATTCATGAACGACTTTCATGATGGCAGCCAATTCATCTGTGAAATTCAGAGATCCTCATTATGTAAATATTGTCTGAAAAAACTTGTTAAATTGTCTATAAAAAAATAATACATGTATACAGCAAAATTGTGCATGACTCAATTTCTAAATTCTAAGGAATCTAAGGAAAAAGCTATAAAATTACTCAAAATAGGGGCAAACATATAAAAATCATATACAATGTGAAACATATATAAGGTGAAATATTACAATTTAAAATAACTTTTATATTTTAATATATTTTAAATGTAATTTATTACATGAATTTTCAGCATCATAACTCCAGTCTTCAGTGTCACATGATCCTTCAGAAATCATTCTAATATACTGATTTGCTGCTCAAGAAACATTTCGTATTATTTTAACGAATTATTTTATTTTCGTATTATTTTTAACTTTAGTGACATCACTAACCCCGATGTTTACATAAACCCTGCCCCCGTAACCATGCAACTACCCGTAATGGTAAGGGGGCGTGACGTTTCCAGACAACGTGCACTCGGCGGTTAGCGAATCACAACACACTGGGCCAGCTGACCAATCAGAGCCCGACTGCGTATTTCTGAGGGAGGGGCTGAGGTTTAGGAGTAGGTGTGGGGGAGGGGTTCGGAGGAGCAACAATAATGTACAGTATGTGGAAAATAATGCAGTGTCACATGATCCTTCAGAAATCATTCTAATATACTGATTTGCTGCTCAAGAAACATTTCGTATTATTTTAACGAATTATTTTATTTTCGTATTATTTTTAACTTTAGTGACATCACTAACCCCGATGTTTACATAAACCCTGCCCCCGTAACCATGCAACTACCCGTAATGGTAAGGGGGCGTGACGTTTCCAGACAACGTGCACTCGGCGGTTAGCGAATCACAACACACTGGGCCAGCTGACCAATCAGAGCCCGACTGCGTATTTCTGAGGGAGGGGCTGAGGTTTAGGAGTAGGTGTGGGGGAGGGGTTCGGAGTAGGTGTGAGGTTAGGATTAGGCAATCAGGTTGCGACTTCAACAATGGGGGTAATAATTTGGAAGGGGGTCGAAATTGGACACAATAGGTGTTGTTACATTTTTTAAATTTCAGTATCAACTTGGTACAAAAGTACTAATAGCCTACTTTTGACATCAATCAAAATGATTTGTTAACAAGTTACTGAATTAATGTTAACAAAGCTGCTTTCCACTTTACTACAAACATTCATCACAAGACGAAATGGCATCATTCAAAATACTTCTCTTAAAGCTGACCACTGGATAGAACGTTAGAAAACACATCAGTGTTCACTGTCAGAAGTCAGTAGTGATGCTACTGCTACTGAACACTACTTTAGGATGCATTATAGAGAGGCGAGATGAAAAGAAAACGCCATGTAAACTTTTCTGAAAACAGTCAGTTCCCCTCATTATTATATTAAGGATTTTCTTCCAATATTTTGCGCATCATGAACAGAGAGTTTGCTCTGCCAGCTACAGTATTTTCCCCTCTTTGCATTTGTCCTCAGCGTCTCTGGCCTCTGTTAACGTCCCATTTACAGACCTCGTATTTCCACACAAATTACATTTTCAAAAATGCTAGCAATACAGTTTGTGTGCAAGTCCGGAACAGAGATCGGCTGAAATAAAGCAAAAGAGCTGTTCCGATTTATGGCTGTTCGAACATTTTCTAACATACATTTTTTTCGGGCCAGTGGCAAACTGTAACCTTCTTGGCTAAAGGAAAACACAATTAAATTTTTTAAAAATAATAATTTTCCAGGACAGCAACAAGATTTTCCAGGACATTTTACATTTTCTCTTATTTTCCATGTGTTTTCCAGAACTGGAATATTAGTCATCAATTTTCCAGGTTTTCCAGGACGCGTGGGAACCCTGATGATACATTTTTCCAGAATTCTTTGATAAATAGAAAGTTAAAAAGAGCAGCTTTTTTTTTTTATTAAAATACTTTTCTAATATTACAAATGTCTTTACTGTCACTTTTAATCAATTTAATGTGTCCTTTATATTTATGTGCTGTAAATTCTCTCAATTCCCCCAGCACTGCCAGGTGTGAAAAAAAGATAATATTGGACCCTGGATACAAGTCCAAATTGGAGCGCATATTAAAAAACAAAGTATGAGTGCACAAAACAGATGGCTCACCGCTAGACACCATCCAGCTGACGCAATAGCGAGGGAAGACCGTCTGGGGATCATCGCTGTAAGTCAGCAGGTAATCAAAGCCATTCTGTTGAGACAAGTTAACTAGCTTAAGACTGCAAACTAAGACCAACCGCAGACAGACTGACACACAGGAGATTCCCTATTCTCACCTCGTCAAATGACCGGTGTGGCCGGATGACCATCTTGGACTGGTAAGAGTGAACTCGGACGAACTCCTGGATCTCTGGGACACTGGGGTGTTTGATGGCTCTGAACAGAGAAAGCAAGCACACTTAATATAAAGGACACACTTCAACCAATTAACACCAATTAAAATGTCACTAAATAATTCCTATAAAATGGCAACAACAGTTACCTGGAGACTAAGATCATTAAGTTGTTCTCCACGTCAACATGATATCGGCGCACATAGACATAGTCTCTGGAGTACATGGGATACTGCACAGGAAAGGCCAACAAATTATAACATTAATAAGATTAAGCTTAAAAGCTTTTAAATCTTCAGTCAACTAGTACTAGATCACACTTCTGTTAATTCGACTCAGCCCATTAACTGCCCACTGCAAAAATCACAAGGATGTTTTCTTGTTATGACAACAGGCAGTGGAGAACTTGATTCAAAGCTTACTGGAAAATGCGTGGCCCAATGAATGACCTCGGTGCCTGTGTTGACATCCCTGTCCACCACTTCCAGTTTAATAACCAGTGCATCCCACTTCTTTCTGTACTCTGTGTCCAACTAGAGTAAAGGGAAATATCTGGGAGAGTCTAAATATAACATTCAAATACCAACAGCAGATACGAACCACACACACACACACACATATAACATCTTTAACAAATGGAGCGCAAGGCAGGTGACGCCTGAAACATGTAACAGGGTTGCCAAGTCTCGCATCTGGTGTGAAACACACGCGCTGTCTTATGCCACCACACTAAATCTCACACCAAATAACAAGACAACACAAAATGCACTTGAATGATGCTTTCTTCAGCGCATAACTTACATTTTACTCTTCTATTCTTTTAATCGTTATGAGTCACAAGCATATTTTCAAACAAGTGGAGCGCAACAGAAAAATTAATGCAATCATTTAGATTAAAATATTATGGTTTTCATTACATATTTGTTGTTGAAAATGAAATTTAGGTCAAAAAGTATATTTTGTAGGAACAGTAACTGGAATCTTATAAGAGTCCCTTACATTTACAGGAAAAATAATGAGAGTAACATGTTATTCATGTGTTCAGAGGAGTAAATGTGTGCCTGCAGAACATTTGACAGCTGACCTGTTAAAACTTTTTCTTTTTCTTTATTATCTGTAATTTAGTGATTCTGCTTGCTTTTTAAATTATTATTATTTATAAATTGCTCCACATGAAAAATGACTTGCCGGTACTCCTCAAGTAATAATAGGTAAACAGCATGCAACTGAGTATTGAAAAGTTTCTTGTACAAAATTAACATTCAGTATTAAGATGAAATTAATAATGAATGGTTGCATCCTCAAGATCTCATACAGGCACCTGCGACTGGTTCAGGCCATGTCATCAAAATCTCACTCCAGCCAGGTAACCAAAGTTGGCAACCTTGCATGTAAGTCTATGGAAGCTTGAGCAAATCTGGAGCCGACCATCACCCAACACAAACGGTACATCATACAACTCGTTTTACTTTGTCTTGCTGAAATAGCAAAGTAAAACTCAAAGCAGTTAATACTAAATTATTTAGTACCTGAACATTGAAGAACTGCCGGGGGGTGACGTCTGTATATGAACCAAACACTGTAACAAGAGAGCCAGACATGTAAATCTGTTGTTTGAATAGGATTGGACAAACGGTTGGCCCATGGTAAAAATACACATTCAAGTAACACATAAATATACAAAAATTAATGACTAATTAATGACACAATAAATATATGTTGTTTTACCGTTTAAAACATACCCCTGTATTCAAAAAGATGGCTACCCTGGATAGGCCTCCTCCAAACCCTGAAGTTCTTCTTCTCCATGACCAGCTCCCAGCCTGGATCCACATACACGGCTGTCTTTGGGTTCACATTCTGGCTTCTCACCGACTCCAGTGCCTGCAGCTCCCACGCACACCTAAAGCGCAAGTTCAGACGAATTGTGCTTTATTATTGTGCTTTAACCACAATAATGCGTAAACAAGAAGATAAAATGATACCAAATATGCTACAAACATGTTCAAATAACATTTGGCTAAAATGTCATCAAAACCACGCCCTCTAAAGCCATAACAGCCAATCTGAGGTCATAACACCTCAACACGAAAAGTGATTGACAGCTAGAGAGCGTTTCTGATTGGTTAATAGAAGGGCTATGCCTGTTTTGTTTACAAAGCTAAGGCCCGTTGGACTGTAGACGCTTAACCAATGTGAATATCAGATAATGGGGGCACATTATGCGTCTTATTCCAAAATTACATATAGCACCACATGAACAGTCCAGAAGTGAGGGAAGTACCTTTTCAGCTCATCATCTCCAATCTTCTCGTCTTCCCACATGAAGACTCCAGCCAGGGCTGCTAGGAGTTTTCCAGTGGGGGCGTGTTTGCTCTGCAGGCGCCGCCATATGTTGCCCACGAGTGTCCACCTGCTCCTCTCAGAGTACAGGTTTGAGTACAGCTCTCCGATCTGAAGAGCCCTTCTCAGCCTCTGGCCTGTCACAAAACTACAGTGGTTGGCGAATATAGACAATAGTCTCGCCTTCTTCTTTTCGTCGCAGGCCAGCTTGTTCGTTCCCCTTCCTGCTTTTTGGAGCCATGACACCAGCAGGCCCACGCGCTCACCCAGCCACGACAAACTCCACGATTTGCTACTTATCGCACCACTTTGTTTAAAAGTGCTGAAGCTTTGCAGTCGGACCGCTCTGGCCCCTATATTGCACACAGGGTGTTGCTGGACGGAGGGGAACATCTTTGTTTCTAGAACCACGAATCGATGATATCTAGATTTGACTTTGAAGTGCACTTTTTAGCTAAAAAACAAAGATTTACTATACAGATTAGTTCCCATGTATGTAGAGGACTGAGACAAGTGCAACGCAATGTCAATTTGACATGCACTAGCGATTATCTTGCAATTTAAAACGACAGGTTTTAATGGACAACTAAAATGCACGAGAGCAAAATATATATATATTTTTTGTATTCTCATCTCACATTATGAGACGCTATCATAGTAATTTACTAGATAAACAAACAGTTCGATATTTGCTAACAACTGCAATAACAGATCAACTAACGTTAGCTAGCCAACATTAAATGACATGCGACCGCGGGCAAACTGTGATTAAATCAACGACAACAACTCGAATGTTTTAAACGGTATGTCATACCCGGTATTTTATAACAGCTAAACTGATTTTTCGTATTCCTATCCTTAAATTAATCTTACTTTTATCCTCGTGCGTTAGCTTCATGCCCTCACACCTCTCAGTGCGAGTTGCGTCGAACTTGCTTATTAGCCACGCCCTTCTCCGTTTTTACGAGTTTCTATTGGCTGTCTCTTAAATTGAGGATGCACCTCTCATTCTAATAGGGTAATATGGCTGTCTGTCTTCGTTGGTCGCCACCCTAGATCAACCAGCAAGTTCACATGACTCACCTTAAATCAACCCATTGGTAAAGGTCCTCAACAACTTTAAGGTTAAACAGATTTACCACGTTAGTCCGTGCTGTAACTATGAAATAATGAGCCACTTATTCCATGCAGAGTAATCAGAATTAGGATAAGTAGATATGTACACCTACTAATTATTTAGTATTACCACATTATTCGTCACATTTTGGAGTAATAGTTAAGTCATCAAAACTATTAAGTAATTTATTATTTAATAAATTCATTTATTAAAATCCATGCGTAGACAGTCTATATGTGTCTACTAAACTTCAATCTATCTATTTTTCTATCTATCTATCTATTCCACCTTTATTTTACCCTCTAACTCTAGCACTTTCTATTCTATTTTAATTCTACTTTTTCTATATCTTCTTTTTTTTATTAAAAAAAAAACACTAGCTTTCTATTTTTTCTATTCTATCTACTTGTTTTTCTTTGAGTGTGTGTGTGTGTGTGTATTATATATATATATATATATATATATATATACACCTTGCTACGTGTACTGCGTTAGGCTAACCGAGACTTGTCATTTGCACTTATATATTGTTGCTCTTTTGTTAGTTTTGACTGCTTTTATTGTCCTCATTTGTAAGTCGCTTTGGATAAAAGCGTCTGCTAAATGACTAAATGTAATGTAAATCTATCTATCTATCTATCTATCTATCTATCAATGGCTACCCTGGATAGGCCTCCTCCAAACCTGAAGTTCTTCTTCTCCATGACCAGCTCCCAGCCTGGATCCACATACACGGCTGTCTTTGGTTTCACATTCTGGCTTCTCACCGACTCCAGTGCCTGCAGCTCCCACGCACACCTAAAGCGCAAGTTCATCTATCTATCTATCTATCTATCTATCATATATCTATGTATCTATCTGTCTGTCTGTCTATCTAGATATATTGAGCCCATTCAAATAATAATTCCTGTCTTTATTATTTCACATGGGCAATAAATGCCCTATCTGAAGTACATAAATCCTATGCTCCTGAACCAGGAAAGGGAGAAATACTCCATTGAAGTAACTTTTTGCTGTGGCCACGTGGGGGAGTTATAGCACAGCTTGCAGCATCACCTTCATTGAGCTTCATCTCAGTCTATCCCATGACTTCCGATAACCCACGAAAGGAACTAGATAAAATTAGTGTCACAGGAGATGCAAATACGGGAAACAAGAGACGCCTTTGTAATCTGACAGTTGAACACATGACTATTAATAATCACCAACAGACACCAGTTTTATCTTAATATATACACAATGACACGTTGTCCCTTTTTTTGAATAATTAAGAGACTGTATTAAAGAAACAGACTCGACTTAGATATTTGTGAACACATTTGTGAATGTATATCCGCACTCTTTTTCTAAATCTTTTTATATATAGTCTTATTTAACTTCTTTAACGTCAGAGAAAATAAATACCAAATCAATTATGAAATAAAAAAAAAAACAATTACTTCGTACAAAAAACATTATTTTAAAGCATCTGTAAACATCTGAAGTTAAGTATTTTTAGGGTAGGTGCTGCGTAAAGTCTTAAATTAATATTTAAAATGCCTGGATTCTACAGATTTTGAATTTTCAGATTATACAGTCGAACAGTCTAAGGTTGGGTTAAGTAAACACCTTTTTTTCTCCTGATATCGCCAAATAAGGTTAGAGGGCGGGGTTTACTGTTCGACGCCACTATCCGCTGAAGACGGCCCCGCCCCCACAGTCGGATGATATATGTGTTGCCTGGACAAGCAGGAACTCATAAACTGAAGCCGGTTGAGAGCGGTTTATTGCCAGTTTTTCTTTGATTTAAGAACTTAAAACAACGAACAGTGTCTTGTTTGTAGTCTTAAGCTTTGAATTTACTTTATTTATCCGACGTTAGTGCTTAGTTAGAAGCGAGAGCGTTTGCTATCTCTCACCTCACGCGCGCGGAACGCGGCTACGGGAAGTTGACTGGGCGGGCTGCAGTGTCAAAAATATCTAAATCGACATTTATCGACAATTTTGTTTGAGTGGTGAGTAAAAACTATTTTTTTCTTATTGTAGTTGGCAGTGAGTGATATTTGTCTTACTTTCTCATCGACATTTTTCCGTTGGCTAATTTGAACGGTTAGAATGAGCGCGAGCTCTGGCTTTGTCAGCTGACTCGCGTGGAAAAAAAACCGCCAGGATCTCTTTACGATTAGTTAACACCACAGTGCCACTGATATATGTTGTTTTATGTATACAATTTTATTTTTGGGTTATTTTGGTATTTCAATAAAGTAATTTTGATTTATAACGTTATATTAGTTGTTAGCGGGTGTGTAATGAATGACGACACGTGTAGTGCGGAGCCGGCGCGCACAGGAAAAATTGATATCGCCTTCTTAAACTAAGAGCCTTACAAAATTTCTGCAACGAAGTAGTGTAATATTTTATTTCAATATTAATATCAACGAATTTTAGATGTTTAAAACGGTCGTTTTTAGGGTTGTTCTCGAGTAATGTGGTTCCTCAAGCTAACGTTAGCGAGGAAGTGCGTGTCTAGCGCGAGCGGGGAGAACTGGCTCAAACAGCCCTGGAGTGACAATCAACCGCATTTCATCATGGATTTTCTGCGTTTCTTTGCCAATAAAGGCTGCATTGCAGGAATGTGCTGGAAAGCCACATGACACCAATGCGCTGACGGCTTAATTTGAATACTAGTGTCCGTTTGTTGGCTCAAAGTGCTGCCTTCTCGGGCTTGTAAAACAAAGTGGTCCAATTGACTTTGATCACTTTTTTTTTTAGTTTTTTTTTTTAAAGGGGTCATATGATGTTGCTAAAAATAACATTATTTTGTGTGTTTGGTTTAATGAAATGTGTTTATGCGGTTTAAGGTTAAAGGGGTCATATGATGCTGCTAAAAAGAACATTATTTTGTGTATTTGACCTTGCTATATTGTGATGCCTTGTCAGGCCGGGGTGACGAGACAAAAACATTAAAACCCATTATAAACGAGGCATTTATATTGTGACCTTGAACGTGTTGGCTTGATTATTGTAGTCATAAGCCATCGGTTGTAGTTCGTGCATAAGCAGTTGCCATTTGGTGTATGAGTTTTGTTGTATGATCATGCATGCATTCATTCTGTGTTCTCGGTGCGCCCCCTTTTTTGTACAGTGAAAGAGTTTTCTAGACCTTCAGCTCCGCTTTATGCAAAAAAGTACTGCTAATAAATGCTTTATTGTGTAATAGTCTTATGTCTAGGGTTGGGTATCGTTTGAATTTTATCGATTCCGATTCTGCTTATCGATTCTGATTCCTAGAGTGTTAAAGACAAGTAAACAGTCAGTAATAAGATAGGAACAAACAAATCAATTAGCAATATCATAAATAAAAACAACTGAAGTACAGAAACTGTAATTCAAAGTTTAAAAACACTGCATAGATTTATTTTCATAAATAACATAGATTAATCAATTAAAGTTATTAAATATATTCAGTCAAGATCAGTGAATGATTTTCTGTTGTTCTTTGATTAACATTAATGACAGGCAGCGTGTTTATTAGGCTGCTGTCTCTTTAACACCGAACGCACGCAGATCTAAAAATACTGTACATGTGTGTTTTCTTTCTCATCTGTTTACATTCATGTAAGACAAAAACGGCTGTGTTTATGATGATATACTGACTTAGTTTTCTGCATATTGGTCGACAAATATGAAAGAAGTCAGTTTCGGCCCGGAACAACCTTTTCTACAGTGGAAATACACCGGTTCGAGAACAGACACAAACCGGGAACCCGTACTGCGACCTCTGTTCTCTGTGCTCGCGCTTGCGCTTTGTGTGCGCTGCACGCAAACAGGGCGCAAGTTCTTTCCGTTCCTGCACTTAAATCGTTTTTAATCACATTCAAATGCGAACGCAGGAATCGTTAAGCAGAATCGAAATGCATGCGTCTTATCGAATACCCGATTCTAAAATGGGACCGGTTTTCGATACCCAACCCTACTTGTGTCCAAGTTCTGGCCCCTCTGCAGTGAAATTGTTGCGTAACATGGGAACCTTCCCACTTACTCCATTTTTTTTTTTTTTTTTCCAGGAATGAGCTACCGTTCACTCACTGAGTCTGTTGCACAATGGATGTCCGCTCTGTCTGCCTAATTACCCAAGCCAAAACAAACCGTAACAGATCTAGTCTATTCAGAGGATAGCAATAGGCCCTCACTCCACCCTCTCCCTTAACGTTACATATCAGTTTAGAACAGAGCAGTGCAGATTCTCTCTCTGGTGTCTGGATTGCTTTGATTTGCTGGTTTAGCAAAGGGGCGAAGGTAGGTCTGAGGCAGAAAACAGATTTAGAAACACTAGTACCTCAATTATCTGGGGATTAAAATATCCAGTGTGCTGCTGCTTGATATATTTATACATATTTGGTTCTCTTCCCTGTAAGATTGTGAATTATTTTTTCTGTATAACTTGAAAACCATCAACGCACAATGGTGTCGACAACTCTGGCCACGGTAACGATTTTGACTACCCTTGCCGCTCAAGTGAATCTGTCGGATTATCTATGGCTCCTAATCGTAGGGTTCATCATAGCGTTTATCCTGGCCTTTTCAGTGGGTGCTAATGACGTTGCCAACTCGTTTGGTACAGCAGTGGGATCAGGTGTAGTTACGCTTAGGCAGGCCTGTGTTCTTGCTACTGTATTTGAGACTCTGGGCTCTGTGCTGATTGGAGCCAAGGTCAGCGAGACCATCCGCAAAGGCATTATCGACGTGACCATGTACAACGGCTCAGAGCACGTGTTGATGGCTGGATCAGTCAGCGCTATGTTTGGTGAGTAGTTTATGAAGCTTAATGCTATTATTAATGAATTTTTTAATAAGTAAAATTGAGGTTTCTCTTTTTATGTTTTCATTGCTCTTAAGGCTCTGCTGCTTGGCAGTTGCTTGCCTCTTTTCTGAAGCTTCCCATTTCTGGGACCCATTGCATTGTGGGAGCTACCATTGGCTTTTCACTGGTCGCCAAAGGTCAGCAGGGTGTCAAATGGCTGGAGCTTCTTAGAATTGGTGAGTCAGCTGCATTCACAAGGCCGTTTCATTTGTAGTTGCACTTGTGTGAGTATTACGTTAGTCAAGAAACTGGAGATGTGTTTGTTTCTTTACGTATCGTTGTTCTTTGTTCTCTTACAGTTGCTTCTTGGTTCCTCTCACCTGTCCTCTCTGGCATCATGTCTGCAGTTCTTTTCTACTTTGTTCGCATATTCATCTTGCAAAAGGTAAATAAATTGATACTTTCTTTCAAACTTGGATGTAGAAAGAGAAGAATAAGATCGCACCAAAGCTGGGTGTTGGCTAACAGTCTGTACTTTGTTCTTTGCAGAAAGATCCAGTGCCCAATGGTCTGAGGGCACTGCCATTCTTCTATGCTATTACAATGGGAATCAACCTGTTCTCCATCATGTTTACTGGAGCACCGAGTAAGTATTGCTCTAAGTCTGCCTTTTGCATGCCCATTAACACCCTAACCAGATGCCCAAACTCTGCCAGACTGTGTTTACAGTGCTTAAGGCAAAGCAGTGTTTAACCACTGGGCTCTGGAGAACTCAGTGGAGCACTCATGACGCAGGCATGTGGGCCTTTATTCATGACCTCAATCAGAGTGTTTTTCCTTCTCCATCATAGGAGAGAAAAAACAGTGGAATAAAGAATTCATGCCCATCAAAATGAACCATCAGCCACCGTAGAGAAAGCACTCAGTGTTTTTGAGTGCCGTTAACTGTTGAGCTCTGAATACTTTTGCCTTTTGAATTTGAAACCCTATTAAATGAGCAACCTTTGCTCCTTTTTGTTTTCTCTTATCCACAGGACTCAACAATTCAAGAAGTCAACTGGCCTGGGCCGTTAAATGAGGCTTCAGGCCAGAGTATGACGCAAAATGCACCCACTGAGTGTGTACACATATGCACTTCCAGGCGGGCGCATTTTACGTAGGCACAGCAAGGTGCAGCATACATACACACATTCACATAGCAACACATACCTTCGGCTTTAGACATCCTAATGCAACATGTAGGGCTTTAGAGAAAGTTATTATTTGGGCAGTCTATAGTTAAGCAAGTTAGTTATGGGAAGTCAGTGTGTTTTTTTTTAATAAAGTCCTTAAGTCAAGTACATAAAATTAGTACGATTAAGTTTAATTGTTACAAAACCTTTTGACTTATTAATGTTAAATGCTTAGACCATTCAGATAATTTGTAGTGGTTTTCATCTGACACACTGAGCAGTTTCTAATCACTTTAAAGATTAATAGTTTCTCAAAATGAAAAGACTGTCCTCTAGAGCCCATTTAATCATTCCAGTGTCACTTCAGGACTCTGAATCAATCAGAATGAGGTTTCTCTTCAGCCAAATTCATCAGCTGACACACATCATGTGAGCTGTTTGAGTGCATCAGGACAAGGACATATATCCTCACAATCTCCCACACCAATTCAGGTCGACGTAGTTTGTCATAGCAGAGACATCTTAGCATAAGCTTATCCTGATCTTTGGCCACACTTAGTGACATCGTCACGTCATCTGCTGTTGGATTAGCTTTAAAGGAACCAGATCACCAGACACAGTCCCTTTATTCCTCCCACTCTCAGCTTGTTTAAGGCAGTTCACTCAGGTTCAGTTAATTCAGAGCGTCTCCCAGGACAGGACAATACCGGCACTCACCGGGGAGGAGGAGTGGGGGTGAGAGAGGCATCCGGCATGTCATGATTTGTTGATCAACCTCCTTCGTCTTCTGAAGGGAGCTGAACGCAGGCACACATGCCCTGTAAAATTTCAGTCAGTATGTAACTAGGTGGAGTTTCCTTGAAGCGGTGTGTTTGCGCTGATACTTGGAACACCTTGTTCTTCTGGTTTTGTTTTAACCGTTTGTGCAGTATGAAGGTGACAACACATTCCAACTCGCATACTGTACAAAAAGTTTAATCCATTTAAACTAGTTTGGCATGTGATATATAGGTGTGATATGCACATCAAGTCAGTAGGGATGTAACGATTAACCTCGAGCTGGTTGAAAATCGATTTAAATATGTGACGATTCAAATCGGTTGAGATGCTAAACAAATCGCGATTCAATTAGGGGAAGGAGTTTATATGAATGTATGTCTGAGGGGAACTTACTGTCTTTAGAAAAGTTTAGATGGTATTTTTTCTTTTCCTCTTGCCTCTGTATAATGCATATTAAAGTTCATAAGTGCAGCACTGCTTTGTTTACAGCGGAAACCAGGAAACGATTTAAGCGCCACCTGCTGGCCGAGAGTGAATCTGCGTCTCATTCAGCTCCTCTGCTGTTTGTTTCATGCAGATATTTTTTATGCATAGTTTCACAAAACTGAAGTCAAACCATTCTGTTTTTGCTTAAAATTTCGAAATTATGCAATGTAATTTGTAATGTAATGTAATTTGGTTGCCTCTAATTTTAAATGTAAAGAGCCCAGACAAAGACTTATTTTGTTTATATGAAGAGATTTCTTTTATTTGTGTTACTTATTTATTTGATTTGGGGCTTGTTTTAATTTCAATTTAGTTTTGTTATTTACATTTACATTATATTTAAATTTTGGTATTTAGCAAACGCTTTTATCCAAAGCGACTAACAAATGAGGAGAATCGTTACATCCCTACAAGTCAGGGATCCACTTCTAATAATCCCCTTTCCCAAACATGGTGCCTCTCAACACTGTTAATCATGTTCTATAACCCACCCCTGCACCCAGTTTCAGCACACAGACGTACGGTCATTCAGCAACCACAGTGCCTGGAAAGTTCTCCCCATGCAAAATACAGATGACGCATAAGCCCTCTTTCTGTTTTTAATGTTAGCAGCCCTCAGCATTTGAGACCCGAGTAGGCGAACAATTATTTGTTTGTTCTAATTTCTACTCTGTTTAGTTAGTCAACTAGTTTTCAAAATAACTCCTCTTAAAGTTTGGAATACTATCATGCCCCAATTTACTATCTTGAAGAGTCTATACTAGTTGCCAAAAGTCAGAGCCAGTCTGCAGTTTCTGGGCAGGCACAGTTGCCATATTTCAAAGAAAAACTCGTAGTGTATTATTGGCACCGTCTTCAGACTAAGATTCCATCCAGTCAGAGGAGATATTTTAAGTAATAATTAAAAGAATAAAAGAATATTTTAAGCCGATTTTAGAATACATTGTTTTCATTTGTCATGCGCCTCCTAGCAACAAGGCACATGTTTTGGAGTTTGTTGTGTTCACAACGATTTAATAGTCTGGTAGTGTGTGAACCTAATCTGTTACTGTATTATACATAATTTTTTTTCTGTAGCCATTTAGAAACCTCGTCAGGCGTCTGATGCCTAGTGTTTTAAAATCTTTTCAGATTTGAAGTTTTATAGTGTATTCTGGCTTTTACTTGTATTATTCATATTCCTAATTTAAGAATAAGGGCAATGATGATTGGCTACACCCTCCCGCCCCCAGTACTTCAATGCTTGTTTTCCAGTCTGCTTCCCCTTTGGAAAAACAGACAGTGGGGTGTTTTGGTTGCCCTGGGGATACAAAGCAAACACGAAAGGCAGCAATAACAGACTTTGTGGATTTGAAACTGAATGTTTATATATTTGGCCAGACTTATTCAGCATGACTCAAAACAGTTTACAGTGTCAAAAAGAACTTTTTGTTTAAAGTAGGGCTGCAACAACTAATCGATAAAATTGATTATTATCGATTATGAAAATCATCGACAACGATTCTCATTATTGATTAATCGGGTCTGCCCACAGTGCACGTCCAACGGAGTTTACATACTTGTC